GCGTGCTCTGAAGGGACTAAGCTCTGGCAAGGGCGATGGCGACATCAAGCACATCGAGCAAATGCTCGTCCAATTGCTCGGTGAAGTTGAGGGTTTGAAGCAAGTCAATCAGCTCTCGTTGGACCAACAAGCGAGGACGAATAGTCTCAACTCGTACGAGAACCTGCGAGCAAGCGATGACGCAGGCTATGAGCCAGAAGGTCGTGCCAATACTGCGCCTTCTCCCGACCAGTCGGGTTACTTTTCTAACCCTTCCTCATCACGGCGCATTCAAGATCTTCACTCCGGCTTTGATGTTGTGCCAACAAACCGTATAAGCACGGTGCGAGAGGAGAGTGACGAGGAGTACGACGAGCGTAATCCCCAATACGAAAACACTGAGCGCATGACAACGCCAACTCAGGAAGCTTTCCCAGACAAGCGTCGATCTTTGGGTACGCCCCCACAAGCTCCAAAGTCGACACGGGACTCAAGCCATGAGACCACACCGAAGCGCAAGCACAAGTCCAACTCATCATCCATCTTCGGTATCCCCAAGATCTCTCGATGGTCGAAGACAACTTCTTCTACCAACCCTGAGAGTCTGCCGCGCAACAGTGTGTCTGGTGAGAGGCGACCACAATCCACACACTCCAGGTCTTCTTCTTTGGATGACTACTACGATGACGACGAGCCGTATCAGCAGCATGGTGACGATAGGCTTCGCTCCAACACTTCGCTGGCTAGGGACGATCAGGCGTCCGTCCGCTCTGCGCGCTCTCTACGCTCTCCATCGCCTCTTATCCCAGAGGAGCATCAGTACGAGATGGAAGACCCCAAGTATCAGGCGCATCGCAATTCGCTGAATCTGCAACACCCTCAGCCGCGACCCGGGCCAACCGGTCGTCACCAGAACCAACTGGAGAGCCAAGCACAAATCTACAATCCTGTTCGTTCAAGCATAGGGTCTCCAGATTTTGATCAGTGGGGTAGCATGCCATCGCTTGCGCGAAACCGGATGTCTGGTATTTCGGCTCAACAGAATGCTGGCAACCTCTCACCAATTTCGTCAGATGGCTACAGCCAACACTCTGCTTCGGAGCAACAAGCCGGCCCACCCAGGCCTCCCAAGATCCCGGATGACGGTCCTCTTATCCCGCCGCCACAGCTGCTTGCCGGCTATGGGCAGACGAGGCAGATGTACAGCTCTCCGAATGAATTCGGTAGCCAAGGTGCTTTGACACCGCTTGCACCTATCGCAGAGGTGCGTTACTCACTTGAAACCGATCGGGGCCATCGCGTAAGTTCAGCTCACGCCTCATAAGATGGCGAACAATGCTGACATTGCGCGAAAGATGACACCTACTGCCTCGCCTCGCCCGAGCAGCCAGTACCTCCGCTCCGAGGCTAGCATGGACAGCCCACAACGAAGGGTCACTGGCCCCAGGCCCATGGGTAGCAAGAGCCCGCAGCCACAGAGTCCGCTGCAACACTCGGATACCGTTGTTCGCAGGAAGCCTATCGCTGGTGAGTCTTATGCTGCTTGACGTATCGACTGAGAAAGGTTACTAACAAGTACGACAGATGATGAAGAGTCTCTAGAGAGCTACCGTAGCAGTCTTGATTCCGAGATTTTCTAGGCGATCCATCTCAAACCCAGCATTGTAATCCACAGCAACAGGCAAACTGCAGTCAATAGCTGGGTCGAAAGTAATGGACAGAAGGGGGACGCACGTTTCCTTTCCCATCAACGACCAAGCAAGAATTTGCAACAACGGTCACCGCTTAGGCATGTGACATTTGCTGAATGAACGAAGAGTACGAAGAGTAGTAATATTGGGATGTGCAAAAGCTTTTCATTGGTTATATGGACTTCATTCGCTTTACATACCTGCGCATATATCACTTTGCGAGCATGGCGTTTATATAGCGTTCTTCGACATGGTTTCTGTGGCATGAAGTTTGGAGGGAGTCTTGAGTGGCTGATGAGGGACGAACTTCATGCTTTATGAGAAACGACGGCGTATTTAGGTAGGCATTTCGATACGAATGCAACATTGTGTGTTGGCAGAAATGTTTTCCTTCAGCGTGTGATGTTTTGTTCCACGATCTGTTTCGTCATCGTTCGGACTTGGTACCTGGATGTCTTCAATGCACCCCACCAGCACGCGACCACCACAGCAAACTTACCAACTAGCCCCTACAATTCTCAAGTTCCCGCTTAACGGCCCTTCACTAATCGGCAAGTCTTTGCCTGAACGCGAAGGGTCTTCCTGTCTCGGCCCGCAGTTATGAGGTCGTCGTGACATCATCAGGGTCCACCACTCTTTCATCATCATCGATGAGCTGTAAAGCTAGCAGTATGTAAAAAACCTTTATAACATGTCCTTCCGGCTTGTATCTCCATCACATACACACACACAACTTCTTTGATACCCATATCTCCGATTTCAATACACACTTCACCAACAACCTTCCAAACTACTTCAACCTATACACATCACAATGTCTGCCGAATACAAGAACACCAACGTCAACGAGATCGCCAAGAAGGCTGAGCAGGATCTCAGCAGCGACAGCGCTACCAAGGGCCACAACGTTGGTCTTTCCAGTATGTCTTCTTTACCAACCCATCGCACAAAAACACCGACTAACTCTACTCCTTCACAGCCACCGAATCCGGCGTCGACACCGCAAACGTAGAGGGCAAGTTCCCCGGCGCAGAAGTAAAATACGGCTCCGCTGCCAGCGGCGCTGGCAACAACCGCGAGATTCCGCTCGACGAGGGTGGTTCCATCAAGGCCAACGGTCAACCTACTAAGGCCGGTGACTTTGCTCACGGAGGTGTCGGCGCACCTGAGGAGAGGAATCAGACTTATATCAACAACAACGGTGGTGATGACTCCATTCGGGGTAACATCAGGAACTAGGATGGTTGATGCATGAAGATGCGGGAAAGAGGTTGATTGAGACCCTACCGCTTAATGAATGAAATGAAATGATCCCAAAGAGAAACCATGAAATCAAAGAACCTGAATGCTGTTGTGAGAATTTGACCATTTTCCTTCTCCATTCTTTCTTGCTTCGTCCTCTTCTTACCTCACTAATTCCTACGTTCTGTTTCGCTCCATGCTGTAGCCATGTTTTACTTTCTCGAATGTACTGTTTCTGTCTATCATCCCTCACTATTCCCTTCGCGTACGAAAGCTCTGTTCTGCTCACACCTAGTATCTATTCTCGAAAAAATCCCGATCATATGTGGGTATACATGTATTGACACAATGTGTACCAGAAACAGAGTAATTGGTCTGCTGAACTAATAATACCTAGATCAAGGTATCGCAATCCAGCCTAACGTCAGCATTCAGAGACCTCGTTTGTGCGAGAGAGGGCTCTACGAGCACCTAAGCGTTTTGGACTAGACCATATACACTTACCTAGCTAAACCAGGGCACCTGTTTGACACATATTTCTAGCAAGCTACTACACTCCAACCAAACGGTAACTGCATCCGACAGCCCTATTAAAGTCGAGTCCCGAACTACATTGTCCGATTCCTCTTCTCGCTCCAGCTCTGATTTTACTAGTATTACGAACAACTCTCTATCAAAACCATGTCCATAAAGAACGAAAGGCGATAATAAACAACCCTCTGGCCTACAGGGCAGTCTTGGAAAGGGAAAGGAGAAAGTTAAGCTACGTGCTGGCGGTAGTGTACTGACTAGCTGGCGATGTGATCACTGTATTACGATGCAGTCATAAGATAGTGTAGAGCATAGTGTGACGTGGTCTTGAACGGGGGTAACATGCGGTTATGGGTATTGTGGAGAGTGAGAGTGCTATAAGCTGATAGTATTACGAAGTCGTGATACCTGAGCTGCAATCTTCAGCTAGACGAGGACGAAGGTCGGTGTCGTCCTTCGGCTCATAACAGCGACATGACGCTGACGCTGTATGCCTAGATATGCTTACTAGGACAATTGGAAAAAGATTACTTTTGAGCTTTCCATGATTGCAAAGCTCCTTTCGTTAACCCCGAAGGTTCACCTTCTTTAACCCCAGAATCATTTCACCTTGCTTAGAATCCTTGTGTATTATTGGAGGGCTCGACCGCGTCAAGTATGACTGCCACACTTGACCAGGAGAGCCGAAATAGCCTGAGTGAGGATTTCGAGGCTTCAGGATGCAGAAAGAAAGGTGCCGTAACGGCACATATCCATCTATACTTGGAGACATCAGAAATGACCACAGTAACTCGATGTTCGTCAATCATCGTGCTGTAAATGCGTCGCTCAAACTAGTTGCAATCGGCACAGATTCCAGAACTCCTTTAAATTACCAGTTCCTAAAACTACAAGGAATTTGCGACTTAGGTTCGATCCAAGGCACATGGGAAAGCATATATGGATATTTAGGCTTCTGAAGTCAAGCGAGATTGGTAGTAGTGATACTCAAGTAGAAGATGACATTTCTTTACAGCTAACAAATCCCATCATCTGCGTACAAGTCAACCTAAAGCGGAACTCATGAAATCTGAATACTGTTCCTTGTTTGCATGTCTTGTCTGATGGCGAGCAATGTACGGCCTAGCTAATTCTTGGTGATACTTCCTGTAGTGCTTAAGTCGAGCGTCTTGTCGATTGAACACTCTCCCGCACGATACGTTTTCACAAACATAGACTCTACTCGAATGTTTGAGCCGCTGGTGTCTTGCTAAGTTGCCCTTACGGTGAACACCACTGAGTGCGGTACAGCAGTCATCTATATCGCAATATATCTCGGATGAGGCAGTGGAGGAGGACGTGGTACTGGTTTCGGACTGCAATGCCGTTGTGGATTGTACAGATGGATCCCACGAGTCTTCGCTGAAAGACACCTAGGGAACGATGTGTGCTGGTGGCGTTGCCAGCCGTATTTCGAACGCTGGGTGATCGAAGAACTGGGCAGGATGTGTAGATTTGTGAGATAAGGACAACGGATTCCAGCTCGGTTCATGCAGCGACGTAGGACGCACCGTCAACATGGAGTCAACCATGGACATCGGATCTATGTCGTGGGATGAGATACATTCACATGTTGCAGAACCCACGCCAGGACGTTCGGTCAACATGGATTCATCCATGGACCCATCCACGTTGGATACGTGTTGGTACGCTGCTCCTCCCGCGCTGGCATCGGTGCCACTATGACTATCGGCCATGCACAAGTCAGGCCCCATAAGCAGCGGCGACCTTTGGTCTTCCTCTAGAGGCTACTAATGTCGGTCAGAGTGCAATTGCAAGTAAGCTTTCAGGCACTTACGTTATCTTTTGCCTTGCGTGAGTATGAAGACGTTTTGCATTGAAGCGGTAAGCTAGGAGGCTCAGCTACTGTATCTGAAGCCTGAGTCGACACAGGGAGCTCTGGAGTAAGGTCTGGATCATGTAAAATTGGCATTGAGCTCAACATCGTAGCGTCAATTTCGGCTGTGGTGGAGTTTGTTGCACTTCTTTGGTTTCCTTGGGTGATGATGTAGGTCTCCACTTTGAAGCACAAGATATCATACTGCTCCTGTTGCCCCGCGTCGCCCTTGCGCTGTTGCCGTGGGGTCTCGCATTTGAAGCCGTCCTTGCCACGGTAAGCCTCGAATTCGTGCTCGTCCAGTAAGTCTTCGTTACAAGTTGTGCAAAGCTTGAGGAAGGGTAAGTGCGGAGGCCTTCCTTTGGGTAGCCTACGGGTTAAATGCGTTCGGACTGCAGATACCGTAGTAACTGGGGCTGCTGTACATGTATAAGGCAAACCTAGTTTTGCCTGAGCTTTCCGAAAAGCACATTGTAGGCTGCGCTTGGATTTCTGAACCTCTTCTGTCATGGTTGAGGGCGTTGATTGTGACTCTGACAAATGAATATTGGTATGCAAGACATGTGGGGACTGTTGTGATGTCACAATTTGGTCCGCTGGAAGGCCATAGAACGATGATGCTGGCTGTTCGATTTGAGATGTGAATGAGTTGCGGGTGCTTTTTCGCCGCTCTAATGAATAACATTAGTGATGCCTCCTCAGTGCGGACTGATATGCAAATCTTGTTTACAATGTCCGAAGGCAAAGACAAAGAAACTGTCCTCTTTTTTCCTGTGAGCTGCGTAACAGACTGTCGTACTGGACCAGGATCAGCCTCAAGGTTGTTAGCCCAAGACTGCGCAGTTGCTTTTTGTGGAGGTGAGTTTGGATCTTCGAAATTGCCGGCGTCAGTGAAATCAAATGATGCTATGAACGCATCAACATCAAATGCGGATGCAAGAGGAGCGTGCGGGGGGTCAACGAAGTCGAAGTCTTGGCGCAGAGCTGGGTATTCTTCCTGTGCGTGTGTAACTCCATATGGAAGGACGTGAGCACCCGGAGCAGCATTGGTCCCTGGACGTAAAGATGGAAGTCTTTCCGAAGCTTGTAGAGGAATAGTATAAGTCGAAGGACCGTTGGTATCTCGGGTAGCCATAATAAGCACAAGGCAGGAAGGACGAGGAGGACATCGAGAAAGCTTACGAGCGTGGGCATCGAGGTCTACAACGCTCTGCCATAACCAATCATCGTAGTTGAAGCATTGCTTAGCGAGATGGCTTGCACAAATACGTGCCTTACGATCTGAGGACCTGAGGATTTACGGACTTTCAGAGATGCCTGATGGCCTTACAAGCCAAATGCCAAGGACCACTGACAGAGCGAGGCGGCGTAAGGTAGATGGAAGCCTGATCGCCATTGGGTCAGATCGCGGGCAGCTAGCCACATGCGATTTAGCAGACCGAAACAAGGCTGAGAGCTGCAGGAGAGAGCGGTCAATGGTATGTTCGACTCGCTTGAATACCGGACTGAATTGTTGAGATGAGGATATGCATATTCAGACACCTACATGTTCACAGTGACTTCTTAGATCCCGTGTATCTGATGGTAGCAATGTGCAGCCAGACGCCTGCTGTAGCGGTAGTCTCGTACTCTGAAGGGACAAATGTATTGAAAGGAAGACGGACCAATAATGCAGAGAAGAGAGACAATTGAAGGGGTATCAAAAAGGAACAGTATGCTCAATAACAGTTCGCACGCGGTTCATGCCCACACACCTAGAGTCCAGCTAGCTCTCTCTCCGCCCTTGGTAGAAAGTCCAGGGCCCATACTCTGCCTCTGTGCAATGACAGAGACGTCCTTCTCTCTTGTGGCTCCTTGTAAACCATCTTTGAGATACTTTTCGCGTTCGACTTCGACAATGCCCTTGATACGCTGCTGTGCTATTAAACTCGCACCTGCCCACGCGCCCAATGTGTCTACGCCCCTGATGGTGCCGCCAACCAAACTAGCAGGTGGCGGACCGTGACGTATTGCCATCTGGGCGAACTTTGTGTCTATAGGATCTTCTTGGGGCGATTGAAGTGCTGCGGGTAGTTGGGCAGGCGGCGCATTCGCATCGAGCGACGAGGGGAACATATCCTCGCCTTCTTGTCGGCGCATCTCCACATCTTCCCTCTGGTTTCGGAGTTTCTCTTCGCGACGCGCACTTGCTTTCCCATAGCTCTTGACTGGATCCCAGCCCTTGAGTTGTACCAGAGCGTCCAGCTCCTTCAGTATGCGCGTCTTGAGACCGGGCAAGTTGGACACGCCGCCTGTAATGACGATACGCGACATGCATAGTCGACGGACGTCTATGGGCAGCCGGACAAGGGCGCGGTATATGAGGTGATGCAGCGGGAGGTCTTCGTCGTCGAACTCGTGTATGGCTAACTCTGGTGCAAAGAGAGCATTCTCGGTAGGCTTGGCTAGTGATGCGAATGATATGGTAAGTTCAGTAGGAGGGGTGTGTTTCGGGAAAGGTATGGTAACAGTAGGCGGCGGTGACTCGACGGCGTCTTCAAACTCCTCTAGCACAGGTGCTTCTCGTGCGGGAAAGTATACGGTTCTTCGGTTCGATCTAGGGACAGGCTTGCACCAACCGACGCGCGTGAGGACTTCCTCTGCCTCTTCAAAAGATATGTCTGCCTTGGTAGGGCCCGGCTCAGCGTCGTCGAGTTCGGCGTTGAGTAGCTTCGCCATTTCCTCGCTCAACAGCCTGCCTGCTCGTACACTGCGCCTCTCGGCTACCTCGCGATACTCGCAAACTGCGGTCACCAGTGTCTCGGCCCAGCCAATGTCCACAACCAACGCCGAGCGTAATCCTGCTGCCACGGTCGACAGCACTGGCGTGGACATGAGGGTGATGCTCGGAGCTTGGAAGCTCGTAAACAGCACATCGAGAACTGTCGACATGAGTGCATGCGGCATGCGGGGCGGCATTGCAAGTAGCACGCGACGTGGCTTCGTGTCGAGCAAGAAGTATTTGCCGTACGCCTCTCGCATTGCCCGCTCGAACTTGTCCTCGACCAGCCCCAAGTCGACCTTGCTCAGGTCCGTCCGGTAGAGCTCATACTCGTGCCCCCAATCCAGACCCCGCTTCCGCCTTCTTCTCTTGTGCGTATATTGGGGGTCCCACTGCCTGTAGTCGCCCACCCTGCGCTGGTCGTCGGGCCCAAACGGAAGGGTGCATCGCGGGGCGCTCTCGCCAGGAAAGCCGGCGCGCACAAATCGTGAGCCGACTTCGATCACGACATATTCGTCTTCGGTACGGAAGGAGCCGCCCGGCGAGCCGAAAGAGGATGAGATGGTTCGTAGAATGGGTGTTCGCGGGGACTCTCCCAGGTCAGCGAGGCGCGGCGTTGTGCCCCTTGTGCTGCGGCTCAGGGAGCCCGAGACTTTGCGCTCGCCGCCAGAGGACATTGGAATTACGGCGAGCAGTGTTGGGGGTGGAAGTGGCTAGTTCATGGCAGCCTTCACAAGCTCAATGGCCCAGCAGCGTCGCTTTCGCTTGCCTGTGCCTGGCGTTCGTCACTGCTGTAGCTACCAGAAACGGAGCTTGTGCGTTCGAGGGTTAGCGCTGGGCTATTGGCCCGAGCTCAGGAAAAAGTTCGAGCTGGGATTCCGCACTGTTCGAGCTTGCGACAACTCCCATCGCGACTTCCCACACCACGTCCAAATTCACCACGGAGGGTAGTTGCGTTTCGCGATCGCCATTGGACCTACCCCACGACCGACCACTCGCAAAATGGGTCTTTTCATCCTCTCCGAGACTTCGGCAGGCTATGTCCTGTTGAAGTCCAAGGACAAGAAGCTCTTGGGCGCAGACAGCAAAGAGTCCTCAGACATTGTCGAGCAGCTCAAGCTCAAGAAGTTCGCAAAGTTCGGAAGCGCCGTCGATGCTCTCGAGCAGGCCGCTGCGCTCCACGATGGAAAAGTCACGCCTATGCTGTCTTCTCTTTTGGAGGATCTGAAGGATGAGACCAAAGCCACTTGTACGCATATTCCGACATGGCAAATACAACGTCGCAGCTAACATATCTCAAGTGGCCGTTGCCGACCCCAAGCTCTCCAACTCGATTGCGCAACTCCCAGGTCTCTCCCTCAAGACAGTGTCAGACTCTTCCACTCAAGATGTATTCCGTGCCATCCGCGAAAACCTGACCTCGCTCCTTCCCGACCTACTCCCCGCTGAGGAGGCCGCGACCAGGCTTGGTCTTGCCCATTCCCTGTCGAGACACAAGTTGCGCTTCTCGCCCGACAAGGTCGACACCATGATCATCCAGTCCATCGCATCGCTCGATGTGCTCGACAAGCAGCTGAACACCTACGCCATGCGCGTCAAGGAATGGTACGGCTGGCACTTCCCAGAACTCGCCAAGAGTAAGTTTCAGCAGTGCCGACGCCCACCGCTTCACGAACACGTTACTGACTATTGCTACAGTTCTCAACGACAACCTTGCCTACTCGCGCGTTGTTCTTAAGATGGGTTTCCGAACCAACGCGCGTGAGAGCGATCTCTCTGAGATTCTGCCCGAGGAGATTGAGGCGGCTGTCAAGGCCGCTGCAGAGATCTCCATGGGTACCGAGATCACAGACGAAGATTTGGAGGCGACCTCTGCTCTTGCCGAGCAGGTTGTCGACCTGACCGAGCACCGTCAAAATCTCGGCAGCTACCTGTCCAACCGCATGCAGGCCCTCGCTCCTAACCTGACAGCTCTTGTTGGCGAGCTCGTTGGTGCGCGCCTCATTGCTCATGCTGGATCCCTTATGAACCTCGCCAAGTCGCCTGGTTCTACCATCCAGATTCTCGGTGCTGAGAAGGCCCTCTTCCGTGCCCTGAAGACCAAGCACGACACACCCAAGTACGGTGTATGTATTTGACCTCCCCAATGTATTTTGCCTGTACTAATGTTACCAGCTCATCTACCACGCATCCCTCATTGGCCAAGCTACTGGAAAGAACAAGGGCAAGATTGCCCGTATGCTCGCTGCCAAGTCCGCTTTGGGTCTGCGCGTTGACGCCCTCAGCACCTGGGGTGTCTCATCCGAGGACACCTCCAAGGAGCCCACTGAAGAGGAGAAGTCCCAGCTCGGTCGCGACGCACGTCTCACCATTGAGAGGAGACTACGCGCCCTTGAGGGCAAGCCGCTCAAGAGCATTCCTGCCGGAAATGCAAACCAGACAACACTTGGACAGAAGAAGTGGGAGGTCAAGGAGGCACGGAAGTACAACCCAGACGCCGACGGTCTCACTGGTGATGAGCCAGCTGCCGATGCGCCTGCACCCAAGAAGTCAAAGTCCGCCAAGACCAACGGTACACCCAAGAAGCTCGTACAAGAGGTTGACAGTGACGAGGAGATGGCCGATGCCGACGCCGCTGAGGATTCATCCGATTCCGACTCGGAAGACAAGCCTGCCGCAAAGGGTGACAAGGCAGCGAAGAAGGCGGAGAAGGAGGCCAAGAAGGCACGAAAAGCTGAGCGAGCCGCAAAGCGCGAGGCCAAGGAAGCGAAGAAGGCTGCCAAGGAGGCAAAGAAGGCCGGAAAGGAGACCAAGGATAGCAAGAAGCGGAAAGCCGACGATGGTGACGAGAAGGTAGAGAAGAAGAAAAAGAAGAAGAGCAAGGACTAGATGCGTCGCAACCCCACGGAGACTTATGTATCTGTAGCCATGTTCTTACAAAAGAGGGTACGGCGTTGTATGGGTTTGAGCTTGCTATGTTCAGGCGAGTGGCGCATCAGGGTTCGGGCTTCTGTAGTTTTATCTTTCCAAGTCCTTTTACGTTGCATGATGGGGATGCGGTGGATGGATACCCGCCAGTTGGTAGCATACAATCACATGTTCATAAACTTCAACCGTGTTGGCTATATACGTGCATGGTGATTCATCGTTGATTAATGTTCAATCAATCTGCCATGCGGTTCCGACCCCTTCATCCATCTACTCATCCTTTGCAAGCGCCCATCTACTGCTCATTGAGAGCAAGCTCAAGCCTTCTTCTTAGCTTTTCTCCTCTTCTTGTTAGCACCCAGCAGCTTGTTAGCAATCTTCGGCATCTCCATGTTCTCGACTCCAGCGGGAATATTGCCTTCCTCCTCATCGAAGACCTGTTGGGTAATGGCTAGAATGTCGTGTAGTTCGTCTTCAGTGAAACGTGTACCCGCCTTTCTGAGCGTCAGCGATCGTGCACGTGAAAGAGGTTAATCAGTAGTCAAGCATTACCTCCTCGATGACCAACTCTAGCATGACTTGCGTAGTAGGCCTCAAGTTATACAACTGGAGATACTCTGCCTTGTTCAGCCGGTACTTGGGCGCCAGCGCGCGGAACAGGCTGTTTGGTCCTCGGTACAGCGTCATGGGCCGATCGGGATGTTGTTCAGCGAGTGATGAAGTCGTGTAATCTGGGGTTTGCAGGTAGGCGAGTCCCTTTCGTGTGTCAGCCTTTTTCGAAAGTATACTTTGCACCATGAAACGCCTACATCTCGCAACATGTGGTTTAGACCAGACGGCTTCTTGCGTTTCCGATCCGTCCCATCGGCGCCTGTGTATTCTGCGTCTTCTTGCCGCAGATGCAGGAGGACTTCATGGTTAGAGAGTAGGGCGGATTGGGGGGTTTTGATCTAACAGAAGTATCAGTGAAAAATGTCAGAGTGATGCCAGAGTAATCCATGGACGTTGCGGAGAAGACCGAGTGCGAATATTGTATGATTGGAATACACAACTGAAAGATTGATTTCAGGATCCAAATGTGGAACTTACATGCATGTTGATGATCACGCGGCGCTCACGCAGTCTTCCGAGCCGATGCCGTGGGTGTCTAGTGATCACAAGATTGATTCGTGTGGCGGGGATACCTCGGTCGCTAATATATCCAAGTCAGATAGCTCCTTCGAACAAAAATTGCTTGTTTCACTCTAGCAGATTCAAGAGAAAAGACAAGATCTTGAAAGATCGCATGTGATCATTGCAGAGCTTTTCGTGATGTTTCCGGATCTTGAACTCTATTCTTGACAGACGAAAGAGGCTAGAGCCGTGAAAACGCGTTAAAAGAGCGCGTACCTGAAATGAGTGACCGCACTTTGCGAAGAAGCTCTTGTAGAAAAAAGACTTCTTTGGGTTTTGTAACAGTGCGTACTATCTAGGTACTAGCTAGAGTCACGTCTACATGATGTTGGAGCCAAAGTGAGACCCGGTAGGTGAGCAAAGGGCAGTTTTTCGCGCTAGCGGCTTGGCACATCGAGGGTAGGGATGCCGTGGCGATAGATATTGTTGGAGTCAAATCTGAAGACACTCAAGAAAGACGGATTGACGATCATTACTGGGTATCATTACTATGTTACTTGGTTCCTTTTGTGCTGTTCCAGACAGGTCTCAATCGATGCCGCTAACGCCGCGCAATGCTATGCGAAATTTGAGATCATCGCGACCCGAGATCATGATCTTCGTACACCCGTGACACCGTTGCCTCACGCCCCAGTGTTCATATCTTCTCACCACATGTGCTTCCTCATCATATTCCTCTCTGTGCCCTGGCAGTAGCCCTTGTCTTTTTAACCATAAAGACACCAACTTCTACGCCTTTGCTTGGCTCACCATCGTGGTAGTCTCGCTCCGACACTCCCTCCAGAACAGCCTGGATCAGAGTCGCTGCACTCATCTCGGAGCTCGGGAGCTTCTTCGACTTGCTAAAATACTTGGTGATAACGTCCCGTACACGAGGCTTCTCCTGCTTGATCCACCAATCGTCCGCCCATGCCGACCGTTGCAACAAGATCTCCTCTTTCGCCGCATGTATGACCTCGTAGTTCGCCCTTTTCTCGGGGTTTGCATGTCTCTCAACCATTGCTTCGCAATATTTGCGGACTTGCGCTTCTAGGTGATCGTATTCGTCCAGATAGTTGACTGAACTCATTTGACCTAAACTCCTGCCTAGCTCAGAGTGAAGGTCATGGACCACCGTTACGGTTCGTAGAAGCGGGTCGAGAATAGGTCCAAGGTACTGCTGCATGAAAGTCCTCGCGCCTGTTTTAGTCGGGTAGATGAAGAGAAGAACACCATCGTCACAAGACAGCTCAATCAGGCGGTCGTACAACAAGGATCTGCCCCGAAATGTGAACATCTCAGAGAACTCGTTCGTGTTCGTAGGTGGGATGTATCGCTCTACGATAGAGACATTAATGCTTCCAGGTGGCACAACGGGCCGAGGCGATGGAGGAAGGAGTTTTGAATCGAGTTGGTAATCAGGAATGGCCACTGCACTGTCGAAAACTTTGCTGGTAAAATATGAATCCCCTCCCACAGCAGGACCAGGGGTGGATGGTGGAGACTTGGGCAGGTCCATCAGCGTATAGCGGCCAGGAAGCGCATGGAATACATTGATCCATGAAGTTTGCGTTGACGATCTGTCATGAATCGAAGCAATAATCTGACCAAAGATATGGCCTGATGTCGAGGGGCAAGGAAGCGCGTGGGATAATATCTTGACTGAATCCAAGTCCAGGCATCCAGATTCAGTTACTAAGCTGCTCAGTACATGAAACTACGCATCACACTAGTGTCAGAAGTACTCACTGATGGTGCGTTTGGCCTCCTCTATCCACGCTGCCATTCTCAGCGCGTCGCTGAACTCGTCGTGAAACTCGTCGTGAGTCGGTACGACGATGGGGGCTTGGGGAGGAGCAGTCGAAGTGGCAGTGCCGTGGAGGTTTGGCGACACGCCTGGCTCAGAATTAGGAGGTGAACCCAGACCAACCGTCCCTACGTTCACAAAGGATCCCCAACTGATCGTCCCCGGCTCCGTATCCGAGGGAGGCGTGTGAGTTGACACAAGATGTCCGACGCGGGCTCTAGCTGCCTTGGGACTGGTAACGGGGGTATGGCTGGCCCCGTTGGCGTGACTGAAGAAGTCGAGTGGTGGGCTGAGTGCATGGAGAGGGTCCTCTGGCTTTGAGAGAGGTCCAGCGCCTAGTGGAGAGAAATACTGATGTGCTTGAGTTGGAATACGATCAGGGTGGGGCGCAGCAATGCCTAGTACATCAAACGAGGGTAGACGCAGATTGTGCGTACTTCTAAGGACCGTGGACGCGGGAAGCGAGAAGTTAGTTTGAGGAAGGTTGAGGGTCAGATCAATATGTGGCCGGTCCTCGATGGTGGGAGTCCTAAGAGGCTGGGGTAAGACGGAAGGCAGCGGGAAAGGCTGCGGCAGAGAAGCGTCGAGAAACGAAGAGATGTCGTTGGGAACCGCTATGTCGGGGCAGGGACCCGCATCTATGCCTTCATCCGGCGTGGGTGGGATAGAGTTGGGCTGGAGCGCTTCGTGGGAGGGTTGCTGAAAGTGAGGAGGGGCAGTCTCAGCATGAAATTGCTGTGTAAGATGTGAAGGAGACTGGGGATCCGCCATCATGGCCAACGAGGTCTAAGATGTTTGCCGGCAACGCGAACAATCACGCTACGTGCTGGGTAAGTGGGATGAACAGACGCACGGAGACGTGGCTGAAAGATCTGGCGTCCAGGTACAAACGCGGTAGCGCCGCGGCGGCAGTAACGGCCGCGTGGAAGTATTGACAGGTAGGAAGGGCTGGCGGTAAACGAGTGAATGGAGGCCTGGGGGAGACCGTTGCTGGCTCCAAGACTTGAGAGCAACAGCAGCAGACCAGGCCAACGCAGTGAGTGGACTAGGTGGTGGTGGGCTAGGTTGGGTTCGCGGAGTGAATACCCGATGTTCGCTGCGGTTGATACTAGCGTGTTTTGGGGGGCCAGGGTCTCATCAGCAGAGATCTAGACCTCGGCCACAAACAATTCACACCAGCAGAATGGCCTGACCGCGCGTGGTTCTCCCTGCATACATGGTCGCCTGGCTCAATCGCCGTCAAGCCTGTCTGTCCATCGGTCTTTGTGGTGCCGTTGATTATTTCCACCGACGTCTATCATGTCCCTCCTGCACGACAAGCCCGGCTAGTCCTGAAGCTGCTTGATACGAATCGAACGCACGACTCCCGTGGGGACCCAGTCGTGCCAGTGTACACGAATACGGCGCTTACCTTCCTGACTGCGGCACTGTTGTTGCGCTATAAGAGTGCAGCCTGTCTTTGACTCTGCCCGACTAGTCGGCAAACTGAAGAAACCCCAAGCAGCCCCACAACCCATGCTCACAATATCACTCATCATACGTTTTGGTACGAGCTTACTGCGTGTGTGTCCCTCCCTACTCCCTTGGCTTTCCCTGCGCATGGTCTGACAAGCCAAAGCTATCTACCCGCAGTCACACAGAACAGCCACACTCAGCTGCCGCGACACGCTTTGCCCTACAAGGATAGGGGCCATGCGAGTCTAGGCTTCCATCGAGATGTCTCTCAACTCTGCCTAGCGAGCGCAGTTTTGGTTGACAGCGTTGGAAAACTTCTTTTTAGCTGGATGCGTCTTTGGTTAATGATCAGCACTGTACTGCTCGTCACGGGATCTTCCGTTTGCGCACATTTCGATCTTGCCGCCACTGCATTCAGGGTTTAATCGTTTGATCCCAGTCTTGGTTTACAAACGTAAAAGTTCGCTATCAAATGTGCGACCGATCCACTTGTGCATCCGCTGCAAGACATTTCTCACAAGGACCATCTAGCGAATCACCTTGCTTGTTCCCCCACCTGCATGGGAGAATCCGGCAACGAAGCGTAAACACCATGCCAAGCTGTTTGCACTTGTAGACTACAACAACTCACAGTGAGCTGTGGTGCAGCTGCTTGCTATGACCTGTTCTCAGGGGTTCTCTCCTTCTTTCCTCATTAGTCCAGCTCTTCTTTCATCCAAACACTTCTCTCGAATCGCTACGCCACCACTGTATCGACATAGATTCAAGTATCAAACTATCCACATTAGCACCAACCTTAACATGGAAATGAGGCGTGGTATAACGTACTTGCCACTTCTGCAGTCCCCTCTCTCTTCCTCCAGCTGTACTTGCACTAGACTTTGACGCCATCTTCGGCTCGTGTAATTTCACATACTCCTGCGCAAGGATGGGGCACGCTTTCTTGTGCGCCTTAAAATGCGCCTTTTGGCAGTCTTTGTTGCAGTAAGTAACACTATGGCACTTGATGCACTGCTTAAGCGAGTCCGGGGACTTTCCACATTGCGCACATGCCTGAGGTGCTGCTGTCGACGACGAGGAAGTGGGCGTTGGCTCTGCAATGGGGGGTTGTGACGATGCTGAGTTTGATGATTCTGGCTGTGTGGTAGGTGCAACGTCCGGGTTGGCCGTCGAATCCGCCATTTTTCGAGAAACAGACAAGTCAAATCTTCCAGAAGATGAGTGTGATAGTTGCCAAACGCTGTCTCTGATGTCGTTGTGCTTTCTCTGGATTCACCTAACAGACGCCAAAAGTTGAATGCGATCGACATTGTGCCTGCAGGGATAGAATGCAAGCGATGAGACTAGGTCGATTTCGTGCTAGCCTCGAAAGTATCAGTTACTAATGTACTCTGCCAGGACACAGCCACTGTGCAAGATGTCTCACGAAGTAAGTCATTGCTAATTTCACTTCATCATTCTGACTCCAGTGTCACGTCTGCTTTTGTGGCGTCATGAATCTCGGTAACGGTAACGTAACATCTCGGCAAGGACATGAAGCTGCGAGACTATCCAAAGCCAACGGTTATCAGCTCGTCGCATTGTCCCAATGGCCCTATCCTGGTCACAATGGCATGTCTAAGAAACCTCACTGTGATTCCCCAGAACGTGTGTTTGTGAGTCGAAGCAAGATTTTGTTCTCTGTCGCTACTAGTGTTCTCTTCGCCAGTTGTTCCTTTGTATGCGCAGATAATCAGCCACTTGTGTTGTCTTGTCTCTATCCGGCTGCCTAGATATCTGCGTCGGAACAACAAGACAATCTAAGTGTTATCAAGCGGGCACTCACTGTATTTCGGTCTTCACTGTGATACAGTCGGTGCAGCAGCCTCAACATCCCTTACGCACGCCACTCTAGCGGACGATCAAAGCTATGTCGACCACTTCAACTTGCTGCATCGAAGGCAAACAAGTTTTAGTATCCGTTATTTGCAGTATAACCGGGTTCATGGAGGATCTGTTAACCTTCCTCCACTCGCTCCGTCAGCTATAGGATGTTTCCCACTGATTGTCAAGGCATCGGACCCGGCGACATGAGCCCAGAAAAGCTGTTAGGACTGCAAGAGAAAGGCACTCATGAAAGCTCGGGACGAAAACTCGCAAACACCATATGGAGAGAGGGAGATCACTATCGGTATGCGAATCGATAGATGTATGCCGTAGTAATGTATCCTACACTCATCTTGGGTCATGGCAATTTTGGCTGGCAGATATAACCCACGACAGAGTTGAGTTCATGAGGTGCTGAGGAGGTACCTTGCTTGCTACATCGAGCTGCCATCAACCGTGCTATGAGACTAGAGTACAACTAGTTCACGCGACTGGATCCCTCTCTGACTCTTCCGCACATGTCCCCGTTCTCGTTCACGCTGTTTCACGCCCAACCCCTCTCAACCAATCTTCGCAACACAATCCTGCACGCACTTTTCTATGTTGAGCCTCACAGTTTCCTGTAAAAGCTACACATTCGCGTCTCGATTGCGCCGATATGCTCGCGCATGCTCAGTCATAGCGTTAAACTCCTGTTGTCGCCGCTACAGTTCTTGGCGATCCCTTTCGACGCGTAGTTCACGAGCATCCAGAGCTGATGTACGGCGTTGAAGCTCGGCTTCTCTAGGATGAGGTAACGGTACTTTCTTACTTGATTCACTTCCACGCATAGTGCCTCTGTTACTTGGAGGCTGATCGGTTATTCCTGGCGCAGGCCGGCTGTTCGTTGGCCTACCTTTCGGCTGTTGTGACGTGTTTGAGGCTGTTGTTACTGGGGCAGCTTGCCGACCAAAGGGAGACGTCCCGGAGAAGGGAGACCTATCGGAGAAGGGAAACGTCCCGAGGAAGGGAAACCCCTCGGAGTTAGGAAACCCGCCGGAGAATGGAGTCGTAGGCTCCTGACCGTGGTGTGATGTTGATGGCACCTGCGGTCGAGCTGCAGGTGCAGACGGTCGACTATTGCGGACGTATGGCCGTGGCTCACGCTGAGGGGGTGGTACTGTTGCAGGTGGTCGAGACGCGGAATCTTGGGTGAGAGGCGCATTATTTGCCTCATTTCCCAAGCTCTGATTGCAGGTCGATATGTTCTGGTACTCTGCTTGAAACCATCTAGTGCGACACAGCGGACAAAGGTTCGCGGTTCCTTGGGTTTTACGACGGGAGAAGATCTTCTCGAGACAATGGCGACAGAACTCGTGGTTGCACTGAGTGGGCGGCTGCACTACGATGTGGATCGCCTGATGAATACCACGATCTTACTCCTCAGTACATATCGGACAGTGAGCTCTATCGGATGGATCGCGCTCGCTGCATGGTCTGAAACAACGGCGCATGAAGTCGTTGAAGGCGAGTGGCCGTGTTGTCATATTGATAAGATGCTAAAGGATGTTCTCAGCGTGGAGTGGGAAAGTAAGTACACTTTGAAGATGTTACTATTGGAGAAATTGCGGTTAGTGTCGAAGAAGGTGCGGGTGTGTTAATGAGTCTAGAAGGAGATTCCAAGACCCTACAACAAGCACATAAAGTTCACGTTCATTAGTGAATTGCCGGACACAGAACCACTGGTGTAGCTTGAAGACTTAGTTCATGTGTGGTGGGCTAGACGGAGTCGTGAGTTGCATGATGTGGTAGTTCACACATCGTGGTAATCCGTGGATAGTTGGTATGATCAGTAGTTGCTGTGGTCTTTCGTACCTGTTCAATCTTAGCAATAGGCCACGCGGGTTCTGTGAACAAGATCAGATGATCGTGGCTACTCATATGGATAGTGAACTACGCTGTCCTGTCCCTATATCATATTACCTAGGTAGCATCGAGGGGATCGTAAACCGTGGGGATCAAGATTGATGAAAATTTGAAGTTCAGGCGAAGGAGCCTGGTGGATGCACTCCAGAAAAAGTACGTCCACTGTCATGCAAACCTATACCGTGAACAGCAGGCCAACGATCCTCATCGCTGGCAAAGTAGTGATCCAGTAACTGGTCGAGTGTACACGCGTATCAATCTATCTCTGCTAACAGCATGCGTATATGCAGTTTTGTAAGGGATTCCAAAGCATATCGGCACCTTTTCTTGTTTGTAGTGGTTCAAAGATCAAGGTAAAGTGCGTGATAGTGAAGAGTTGATCACATGGGGGCGGTGACCTCATGTGCGCATTGCGCCATTGGCTGAATTGCCCGAACCCAGCCACGCGCCAGCCTTGTCTTTCGCAAACATTGACAGCTCGTCGCACATCGCAACGAAGCCCGCCCCTAATCCTTCGCAGTGATGTAGGTATGCGCCAATTTGTTTCGCTCAGGCGAATGTATAGGTCAAACCGGGAGAAAGGCGTGTGCTAATGGTCAAGTTGGGTTGCTAAATCCTTTTGCTAAGGCAGGTATTTCTCATGTCTGCTGGCAACATGGTGCAACCATTCGTTCTTGCAAAAGACTTATCTTCGCTGCGCCACTGTAGAGACCCATGGCTGGATCAGACGTGCTCGCCCCGAAAGTCAGCAATGACAACACAGCTATTTGACTCGCTGCGCCGGAGCTTGGGCTCCGTGTCAGCCTAGGTTCAGACACACAATGTACGGACTTCGCCAAAAGTCCGTTGCGTGACCTCCGTCCGTAAATCTGACTGTATGGGCCAAGAGCGTGCACGCACATACCGGTGCACGCAGAGTCCGATGCCTGCCAGCATACGTAGTCCTGATAGCTTTGTTGGTCTGATAGCAAATCCAAGAGACGCGTATGTCGCGGGAATAGCAGCAGTATGAGAGAACTGTCCGACGTACTCAAAGCGTTTGTTGGCATCTACAAAATGTCTTTTTGCTATCCACAGTGAGCATTGGTCAAGTGCATATGAGAGATGGAAGAAACCCCTGCATCATACGACTACATCGCCTAACCTTTTGATGTATCGTTGAACCCTTCTGATGATATGGCTGACATGAATAAAGTGGTACTAGTAGCAATGAGTCTTGTCGAATACTTGTCTGAGATGTGCTCAGGATACTAGAAGACGTCAAGGGGATGTACACAGCGGGCGTTTCCTGTGGCTTGATTAATGCGGAAAATGCTGGAGGTACACGCGTCAGGACCCCAAGTTTGGTGACATCCAGCTTTGATCTTACGTGTGGCATAGAGGTCGGCAAGGCTATATATCTTGTCTTCGCAACATGGTTTCGTTGCTTCACCACCCATCAGCTCCAGCTTCCTTTCAGATACGTATCTTCCCTACCGCCACCATGAAATCTCTCCTGTTCTTTTCAACCATACCTTCCACTCTTGCACTAGTCGCACCGCTCGAGCGCCTGAAACCCAATGTCTATAAACGTGACGCACATTGGGGAACAAAGTCTTGGTCGCATGGTCCCGACACCGCCACCATTACCGTAACAACGACTTTGATCGTCACCATCAACGCCATCCCGACAGATGATGGAGCAATTCCCAACACCACTACCACGGAAACGAGCGTGACAGCGACATCCGGCGATGGTCTCGCACCAACTACGTTGATCATGCAGCCCAGTGAGGCTTCTACGCTCCAAGAGACAAGTGACATCCTAGCACCTATCACTTTGATCGATCTCAGTACGACATTTTCTCTGTCTACCGCCACTGGAGATGCGGATGGCGCCGCACCTACACCAAATGATATCGAGCCAATTACGTTGATCAACATCAGCACTGCGACCCCCATCTAGATGGAATCAAGACTGGAGGAAGGTTGTGGAGGAGACGTCGGTACGATACCACGTTGTATTGGTATAATCAGAGAACCCGGAGCTGGAGGGTTACTGTGATCTGCCCTGTGATGGAAGTGGTTTTGTTGTACATATTGTCTTTCTTTGGGTCTTGAACCTAACACACTCGCTTGATGCGTTGGCCAAGTCTTACGCTAGTAACAATGCTATTTATGCCGTTATGTCGGGAAGATCATTGGTAGTAGTCTGCGTTCACGCTATCCTGGACACAACGCACGAATAACAGGGGAATTTGGAGTAAGGAAATCGGCGTCCGAAGTTTTGCACTAAATTCGTTTAGACCTCAAAAGGTCTCGAAGGTCGGTCGTTAGGATAAATGAAAGACTCCTTGAGGCCAAGAACCTGCACCATCGGTGGTCTGCAACAAGTACTCTCTCAGTGGCAGCTTTCGAATAGCTCCGTCGCACTCAACCGCATACTACTGCTGACTTTGCTGCCTCTTCTCACATGTTTTGCTGCATATGGCCTGTCGTAGATTAGCCTCTCTCTCTGCCAAATATATGCCAAAGACAGTATGACTTACACGTCTCCAACGACCTTCTTCATGACCAGACTATCCACCCATTCCCCCTTGATCATCTCTTTCTCCTTCGTGAGGCTGTGTCTTTCAAATCCCAGCCTTTCTGCTAACTTCCAGCTTCCCTCGTTCCTTGGATCACACTCAATCTCCATTTCTAGTTTCCCTTGATCCTGCAGTCGTTCCTTCAGAGCATCAATGAAAGCCGTCATGGCTTCGGTAGCGAAACCTTGACCTTGCATAGAAGGCAAGAAGGAGAACCAGAGGTTGGCATGGGTGACTGGCTTGATGGTGGTTTCTCCTGGTAGGGAGTCGGAGTTTGCTTGAGACGTCTTGGCGCCTACGCGGCCGATGAACTGCTCGTCGAGGTTTTCGACAGCAAGTTCGTACTTGGTTCGGGGCACATCGTTGTGGTTGCGAATGTTCTCCAAGACGAGCTGACGAGCTTCTTGGCGTGTACGTGGGGGCCATTCCTGATAACGTGCGTTTTGCTCGTTTCCCTCGAGAAGAAAGTAGCTTTCCTCATCCTTCATGACAAACTCGCGGAGGAGCAAACGGCGTGTTTTGATGGCGCCAAAGCGTTCACCTTTTACATTTGCGCGGGCGATGGCTGCGAGTTCTTCCTTCGTCAGAACACCAGAGGCTTTGAGTATCTCCTGAATGACATTTCCCTTGCCGATCATATAGTCGATGATGTTGTTTGTCTTGGCTGCAAGTTCGAGCTTCACACGTGCATATTCATCCCTCAACTCGACGTTTGAGCGTAGCGTGTCACGTAAGCTGAGATGATTGCGCGTTTGTGCAACACCGTCGACGCACACATAGATGTTATGGCGCAAAGACTGGTTGGGGTCTTTGAAGACATGACGGTCCTCGATACCCAGTTCCCCAAGGTAGTCGAACTTTGCCTTCGCTATGAGAGTGTCGATAGCAGGCTGGACATTGTCGCGAGTAACTATGATGTCGACATCGATGATAGGTTTGGCGACAAGGCCAGGCACTGATGTGCTACCCACGTGTTCGATCGATAGGTAGTCGACGTCCTGAAGGTTATGTTCCAATACCGACTTGATACTTTCGAATTGCTGCGGCCATTCCTTGTTGTATTGCTCGATGATGACAGACATGGTCGCTGATAGAAGGGAAAAGTAAAGTGCAAAGCCGGTCAAGCTGGTGATGCCTGATAGAGGTCAAGCAGGTCAATGTGCCGGCTAAACCTACCGAGCTTGTGAAACGCTCTCGCTTCTCACCCGGGTGCTCCCGAGGGGTGCAGGAGCAAGAATGTCGGTGTAATAAAAAGCATGAAAAGGGCACAAGAATGAACAAGAAAGCGGATACCCGAGATTGATGTCGTACATACAGCCAAGATGCCGCTTGCGCACAAAGGGCGAATGCGACGCGGAGATACGGGCGAGCCTCCGGCGTGCTTGGTTTGATTGCGCTCCAGCCCTTCAGCCCTTCCCACATAACGAACTAATCATACTCTTCAATCTTGATCACCGGGATGTCTGCGTACGGTGGAGGGGCGTCGCGGCCCAACAAAGCAGTCTCGGCATCCGAGTCGGTGCCTGTATTTTCCTGCTGCCTTCGCAAGAACAGGCGGCGAGCCATGATGAGGCTAGCCGCAACCAGTGCAAAGAGCGGAAGAAGCAGGGTATTTCCTCCAAGCTGTATTTTGCCAACGAAGAAGTTCCAGGTTCTCGACCACGTGCCAATTTTGCCATATTCGTCCCATTCGCTTGGATCGAATGACGTTTGCACCATAGCCAGCTTTCCACACTTCATCCTAGGTGGTTGCATTCTGTTCTTGGCCTCAACAACTTGTACGTCTTGCATGGAGAGGATGTAGGGACCGCCCAAGTTCTTGTCATACACAAGGTGCTCATCATACTCCTTGTGCAATAATATCTGAACGACCTTCTGACCCATCTTGATCGGCTCAGGTCCTTCTCCCCAGGGCAGACCAGTCACGTTGAATTGAAGCCACAAGTGTTCGGGCTTTTGAGCGCGAAAGATGGTATGCTGGTATTGGAGCGGAAACATCATTCTCCTGTGCTTGTTTAGCTCCAATGTGTCGTTGTCTTCGGATTCGGATTCCACCTCGTCCTGCTGCATGTTGGTGGATACCTGTACGGCATTGATGTGAAGGGGCATGGGGTCCAGAGGGAAGATGCGATTGCCGTTGAGGAGTAACGCATCGTTGAACTCGGTCATGTCGAACTTGAGCAACTGATTCATGGTTAGCAAGCGCAGCCTCCTGCATGCGATGGGATATACACACTAGCGAGCTATTTGGAGACGGATGTAGCCATTCCGCCTTTTCAGGGCTCGTCCAGGCACGAACAGGGCATCCAACGCATCCCAGCTTCACGGTGTATTCCCGGCCCGCCTCCCTCTCGATGACTTCATCCTGATCCAGGATGTTCTGTGGTGTGATGGCCGCTGCAGCCAGGGCCGAGAGACTAAGAAGAGCGAGTGAACGCATGGTAATGCTGAACGAAAACGAGAGAAGAAGGAAATACGATGTTCGATTTGGCTGAGGTTCGCACCAGGGGGCGGGAGATGGCCGACGATGCCGGGCGACGCGTACACACAAGCCTCGGGCTGCGGCACGCTAGCGCAGGGACCATTGACGTGGGGGATGCTGATTTTAGAAGCCGATCTCCCTCTAGAACGAATGGTACTGATACTGTTCTTTGCGTATGTTAGACTGTTAAGCTGCACAGTGCTCGCGATGGCTGACGATCGTGTTCGCAGGTGCATCGGCTTTGATCAAAGTCAACGCAGCTCATCACCGATTACTTATCCACAAGGGAGTAGCACAATAAACCTCGTTTGAAGACAACGTTACTACTACGTCTTACAATACTGTGACTGACGGGGTAGAGGGATATGGCTAGGGCAGCTCTACCAGCTTCCTCATCAATTCCTCAAGCATCGACCTGGCTCAAGCACGGCATGGAATTATACAAAATTTATGATCTTTGTCAACGGTAATGTCTCGCTCTGCTAATAGCCTCCTAGTTCCCACGCTGGCTTAACAAACTAAGCAACGCTATAGTAAACCGGAGCTTGAAGTAGCGCGAATGCTATATAGGTGCGAGACTCGATTTTGCATTTGAGTGCCAATTGATGAGCTTTCTACAGGCCGTCTCTCATGCCGATGGTAAACGCAAAGTGCATGAAACATGTTACTCCATCTTCTGCCACGTGGTGGACTGTGTATTTCTTCGTACCTTGGCATAGCCGCGGAAAGTTTCCGATAAAGTATGAAGTGGAGAGCAACCAAGAGATTGCTTGCTTCTGGACCGGATGCTGACCTCGTTGCAACTTTGTGCAAAAAGATTGGGAGATCGAGTATTAGCAGACACAGAAGATCGTGGGGTTAGTGTCGCAGTTGGTGAAGGCTGAGCCGATGGCTCTACCAACATGGCCGGAGTCTTCACTAGCGACAGAAGCAGTGATCACTTTCACCCTCGACCGAGCAAGCTGATGAGACTTCGGGGCTCATAGACGGAGGTGTCATGCTCGCAAGGCAATCCGAAGTGATTTGGCTACGGCCAGCAAGCATGCATCTGCTCGTACAAGCGATGAGCTGGGAATATGGCTCGTCAGATGCATGGTTGACAGAACCATCAGTTGAAGAGGATTTCACTCCTCTTCACTCTCTTCGCTGCTGTCTCCGCCCTCCAAGCCTCTCATCATCAGCGCCTCAAGATCATCTTCGTCGTCGTCGTCGGCTGCCGCGACTTCACCAACATCGCTAGGCTTCCGATCGTGGCCCGTTGTCTCTTGTCGGGCAGGCGGGCCGATGTCCATAGGCTCGATGTCCCTGTTATTGTAGTCATCGTCATCGTCGTCTTCACCTTCTGCGTCGTCGCCGCCCAGATCACCAAAGTCAATCTCATCTTGAGCGTTGCGATTGCGTGCGTGTGGGTTTGGCGAGCCTTCGACGTCGCTGTTGGCTGCGCTAGCGAGAGAGATGGGGCCGTTTGAGGGTGAGCGCAAGTAGCCTGCACCGAGGTTCTGACCAAGGCCTAAAGAGGCCAAGGCACCGTTGTTGCGTCGTGGTGGGCGGGCATCGGGCACTTCAATCTCCAGACCGCCGTCGTCATCTGAATCGCCCTCTGCATCATCACGATCATCATCTTCTTCTTCATCACTGTGGTGTTGTCGGCCTTGGTCAGGAGGGGGCGATGAGCGCGTGGGGGATGAAGCCACTTCGCCGTCGGATTCGTCAGACGAGTGTATGACTTCGGAGGATTTGATCTTGGATGCTGGCGGTGCCGTAGACTTTGCCTTGGGCTTTGACGCGGTATCGGTTGCGGTGCGTTGGAGGCGGACGGCTGGTGTGGCTTGCGCCTTCTTGGGCTTCACCATGGGGTTCGCTGTCGCTGTCTTGCGCTTCTTGGGGCCCGGGGCA